CTTGGTTTTCAGAGTAAGCAAGCGGCACAGTAGCAGAGAAGCGGAGAAGAAGAGAACCCGGAGGAGAGGGAGAGAGAGAGAGAGAGACGCCATGGCCGTGGGGGAGAAGCAGATGCCTGGGAGGCGGCCGAGAACGTTGAAACCTAGCACCATCCATAGCTGCGCGCAGTTTGGTGATCTTTCCGGTCTCCAGAAACGGTTGGAGGAGAATCCTTCACTTCTCAATGCCAAGAACGATATCGTAAGCCCTGCTCTCCCTCTTCAATGGCTTTCTCCTTTCTCTAATTTTCCTCCATCTCCTCTTTCTCTCCTCAACCCCTTTTCATGTTATTTCACAGTAGATTGCGCTGTGGGAGGATTTATTGCTGAGCTATTTCCTTCATCACCGAAGCAAATAATTTTTTTTTACCTTAAATAAAAGGCCTTTCTGTCATCTTTTCTGGTATTTTATGCCTCCTGAACATTTTCCAGAAAATAACAATTATTGAGGGTTATTATTATTATTATTATTATTATTATTATTTGAGAAAATGATAAGCGCCTGTTTATCAGTTGAATGGGCTTCCTCTGTTGGTTTCTTTTTTTTTTTATTTTTTTTTATTTTTTTTTATTTAAGGAATTCTTCGAGATTTTATGGATTTGCTTACTTTCTGTGACTGCAGTGGTGTGATTGAACAAATCATGTGTACTCACTTTCATTATTTTCTCTTTGATTGTTACATTAATGATCCCATATTCTAATGTTATGGGAATTCTCGTTTTATTTCAAAGGCCAACTTGGTTGATTGAGTTTAAAGAACTGCTAGATTCCGCCGTTTGTTTTGATTGTAGTCAGAAACTAGTATTGACATTGAAAACTACGAACGCCTTCAACATCTCTTGAAATTGTTGGTTTCGTTTTAACAAATAAAATGAGTGATATAAAATCATTATTGTTTAAAACATATTTTCTACCAAGAAGCAAACAAATGAACCCAATGTTATTTTAATTGATCCCTGTTTTACAAAGCTCAATTGCAAGGCAAATTATTAGGAGCTGACACGGGACAAAGAGAATCATCCATATTTCTCTATGTCTACAGTAAAAGCACAATCAAAACTAGTCAAACTGTAGTTGCTGTTGACTGTATTTTTATTGTAGACAAAGAGAAAACAGAACGATTATCTCCATCCGGTGTCAACACCTAATAATTTCTCCAATTACAAAACTTATGTCTCGTTATAATATCTGAGTTTCTTCTTTTGTGGCTTCTTTTCTTCAAACAAAAATGATTCTAATCCCTCTTTTTTTCCTACTTGTAATTGTAGATGGTACAAACGCCGCTTCATGTAGCAGCTGGCTATAATAAAGTTGATATCGTCAAGTATTTGCTTGAGTGGAGAGGCCCTGAAAAGGTTGATCTGGAATCTAAGAACATGGTAATCAAAATAATTCAACTTCAAGCTCTTGTACTTCGGCCATGATTTTGTTTATTAGCATCAAATTGAGTAGTTTTGTTAATGTCTGTTATTCTTTCTATTAAAATAACTCCTTAGCTCTTTTATTTTATGTGTTCTTAGTATGGTGAGACACCTCTGCACATGGCTGCAAAAAATGGTTGCAGTGAATCTGCTCGTCTGCTTCTCTCTAATGGTGCTTCTTTAGAGGCAAAAGCTAATGTGAGAAATGTCTTATATTTACTTCTATTATCTTCCTTCTTTTGTTTCAGAATTGAAGTATTCATCTAGCATCAACCATTTCTTTTGACAATTTTGTTTTGTTAACTTATAGAATGGAATGACACCTCTCCATTTAGCTGTTTGGCATGCACGACAAGCTCTCGAGTGTGGCATTGTGAAAACATTGTTAGAATACAATGCGGACTTTAGTGTAGAGGACAATGTGTGTTTTTAATCTGAGAACTTTTAATTAACTCTTTATTAGCTTGTTTTTAAGGAACCAAGGAGTTGAACTAATCTACTTTCGCATAATATTTAATAGGAGGGTTTGACTCCCTTGAACCATATTTCTCAAGGGCATTGTAGTGATGAGTTGAGGGAACTTCTTGATCAACACATTAAAGAACAATTAAAGATCAAAGCGCTCAAAGCTTGTGATGAGGCGAAAGCAAAGATGGCCCAGTTTGAAGCTTCTTTGTCAAACATTGTGGGACTTCATTCACTTAAGTTGCAACTGCATAAATGGGCCAGGGGAATGATTTTGGATGAGAAAAGAACAGCCTTGGGCTTGAGGATTGCTGCAAGAAAAGTTCCTCATATGGCTTTTCTTGGTAATCCTGGGACAGGTACTTCTATACGTTTGTAGAAACAGAAATGTGATATTACAATTAGTGTTGGACCCTCTTTTTCCCTTTTTTGTGTTGACACAAGTTTTTTAATATAGAAATCCAATATGTCCCCAAAAAAATTACACCAAAAATTATGCCACATCGTCACTTAATTTAGTTAATTTGGCGGATTAGTATAAAAACTCATCAGTCGATGACACTCTCCCATATTTGATTCATCAATCTATGAAAGTGGGGTCCAAATAATTTTTTGTTTAAATATTATTGGCAGTTTAGTAATACTCTTTAATATTATGGTTTCTTTAGGGTACATTCTCTTTGATGTTTTAAACTTTTTTGAGTCATTGCTATAGGATTACAATCAAAATTTAGCTAAGTTTTATTATTTAGCTGATCGAAACTTTTGTTTGATATATGTTCAAAATGTACTTGTTCCTTATATAGAAGTTTTTGGTCAGATCTTTTAATGTGAAAACTTGACTCTTTTATATATCTCTCTTTCATGAATCATATGTCAAAATAATTCGTCATATTCATAAATTAGATGATATTATTGAAAGGTCGCCCAACTACCACAGGGTAATTATTATTTTCCTCTCGGGTGATTTAACTAATTATTATATAGCCTCTATAATGTTCTTTCCAGTATCACTCCATAACCTAAACACCAAAGTAATGCACAAAGAATATTATCTAAGATGCATGAGTGGTATAGAATGTATCAAGAAAACACCTTTTTTAATGAAAATTTAAATGACCTTTTCTTTCATACTTTTTAAGGGCAAAGGTTTTAATTTTTGTTGCATCGACACAGATACGGCGAAATAGATACGGACACAGTGAAACAGATACAGACACGGGATACATCAAATATTGAAAATATATGACACGGGTTTGGCGCAAATATGATATTATAATTTATAAATCATGCATCAAAATTAAGAAAACAATCAAGAACAACAACAAGAAGAACAACATCAAGCCTTTATCCCACTATGTGGGGTCGACTACATGAATCCTTTTTCTCTATTGTGTCCTGTTAAGAGTCAAATTCTTATTTAAATCTAAAAAAAGGTCTTTTCTAATATTTTCTAACTAGGTCTTTTTTGGTCTACTGTTACGCCGGCCCAGGAGGGGCCGGCTGGACCGGTCCAGGAGGGACCGGTCCGGGTCTATTCCAGGCGACGGAATAGACCCAGCGGGAGCCAGGCGCTGGGCGGAAACTTGGTGGAGCCCATTATGGGCTAAATGCAAGATTAGGAGGGAAATATTTTGAACTAAGGGGTGTTTAGGTCATTTGTAATATTCCTTTGTCTTTAATCTCATCCACCTGAGCATCCTCATATCTGCAACACTTAACTTAATATTATGCTTCTCTTTTAATGGCCAACATTTTGCAACATAAAACATTGTAGGTCTCAACAACATCTTATAAAATTTTCTCGTAAGTTTGTAGGGACTTTTCTATCACACAACAAACATGACAATTAAGAAAGCAATCAAAGTATAATATTAAAAATGATAGATAAAATAAAAAAAGTAACTTCATCATTAGTTGTGTAGCTTATAATATAAAAAAATTAAGCATAAAATGTCTAGTATAATATCAAAAATATAAACATAAACTGTCTAGTACAAGATGAAGTTTCAATTATTCAATAAAATCAATGATATGATTAGCTTTCTTAGAAGTTTATCATTATCCTTCAGTATCATCTTGTTAAATATCATTGCTTTCAATTCTGGCTCATCAAGAGAAAGATTTGCAATCTCCAATATTCTTATATCATCAAGGGACTTAAATCCATCTATAGTAATATCCCACATCTTGTTATCTACTTCCATATAAATTAGAGTCTTTCTTGATAGAAGATAAAAGTTTGTATACACATAAATTAAATCTTCAGTCTGTTGTGGAGTCATTTTGTCCCTCTTCATTGATTGAATGAAGGAGTATATGCTCCAATTTCTTTCACAACAAGAGGAGGATGAAACATGATCAAAAAGTTTTATTGCGATTGTTTGAAGTAGTGGTGCCGAAGTTCCATGAATCAACTACCACATCTTTGGATTCATTCTCCACCTATCACTGAAAAACTCTTGGTTACTAAAGTTTTCTAAATAACTTAAGAATTTAGCAAACTCTATATTGACTATTCATCTCTCCTCGTTTGGGAAATAATGTTTCAAGCATGCCTTCCTCATATTTGAAAATTTTAAATCATTTTATAGAGAAATTCTTTAAGGATCCTCTTAAAGCCATTTTTTACTTGAATATATTTAAAGAATAGAAAAATAAAATAAAATAAAATAATTACTATTCAATAGATTGGGAATTAATTATGAAAGATATGCTAAAATTTACCTTGGATTAAGAGAGTGAGCCAAATAATGTAGATGTGTTAGTTTTGCTCAACTTATCTTCCAGGATAGTATAGATAACACTCCAGAAATTTTAGTCTTCATCATGTGACTTTATTTCATGCCTATATATTATCTCTTTTATTTTGGCTAATATGAAACCCCACATCTCATAAATCAGATGTAAACAGGACTTATTTATGTCCTTCACTTTTAACATCTCATAAATTGGATTAGTAAAACTTAAAATGTACTCAATATCATTCCACAATAAATCATTTAATATATTTTCTTTTACATACCTTACTTTTTCAATATCATCCTCTTGATAACAAAACCACTTATCACTTATCATCATAGTTTAAATGATATTTTTTATTTGTTTAAATCTTCTCAACATTACTATAACTAACACAAAATGAGTTTAAGCTATCATAAATTAAAAATTGATAATATCAAAATTCATATTAAAAAGAGGCACATTTAAATCGAGCATAAATTTTAATTACAATGGCGACATACCTTCGAACAGTGGCTCCATTGACCTCGCTTGCTTGCAACAATAAAGAAAACAACAGACTACACACCAATTAAACGTATCGGCCTCGCTCCCCTCCTTTGCCTTTGACAGAGTAGACGTACGAGTCAGAACCCCTCGATGCCTACGGAAATGATGAAGACGAATGAGTTAGTGCCTGTGGAAATGGAGAAAACGATGAGGGAATAACTTCAATAAGACGTTTCGGGCTTCAATCAAGCAGTTGCTCGCTCGGTCGGCTTTGCTTGGTCGTGTTAATGAAGAGGATGACAAAGTGCCCTTGATGCCTGTGAAAATGACGAAGACGACGAGGGAACTCCTTCAATCAGACGTATCGGGTGTCAATCAATCTATTGCTTGCTCGATTGACCTCGCCTAATCGCATAAATGAAGAAGATGAAGAAAACAAACCTTGAAAAGTGAAACCCTAGTGCATGTAGGCAGAACTAATACATGAAATACGGGATGACTTACTCGTTTTATTTGATTAAATGAATATTAAATATTAAAAAATTGATAATTTAAATAAATTTATTATCAAATATTAATGACATGCCTGTCCATTTTAATTTAAATATTAATTTAATCTGACACGTCAGTTGTGTCCGACACATGTCCCGGCCGTGTCGGACGCGTGTTTGATACTGCATTCCTTATGGTGTGTCGGTGCATCATAGATGTTAATTTTTATACTAACAAAAGTTAAATTGCAAAAGATAATAAAAAGAAATTTTTATGGTGTGTGATATTTTTCCAAA